TTGAAACCTGTTTCAAAATTTAGAGAACTGTTTAGTAAAAAAAATACAACAGTATTATCACCTGGTTCGTCTAAGTCAGATACAACATTATTTTCTTCAGTGGCAAAGGCTACATTTTTTTGTTTTTTCGTGTGATCAGTTAAAATTTCCATTTCATAGGTTCTAAGATTTCCCATTAACTGAGTAACAGTTTTGTTCTCCCAGCCATCGTGTTCCTGAATAGCCGTGACTTTCATTCTGAACCTCGGTGGTAAGGACCTCAGAATTTTTTTAACAAGTTTCGCTTGAGTGAAAGTTTATGATTGTCTCATCCTCATTCATCCGAAGCTCTTCAAAGTCAGACTGGACCAGTTGCAGCTTTGATTGTTTCACTAACGTAGTTCCTTCGTAAGTTGACTCAAGAGCCCCCCACACACCTTTAGCTGAATCAATACCTGCAACTATAGAAAACTAACTTTCATGCATAAGGGAGTAAATCGTATCTAAGGCCTTATCGTTATATCCAGCATTAGTTATTTCAGTTTGGGGCCATTCGGTTTCAGGTTTAGTTACTCGCGTTCCATCATCACTGGTACTGGTTTTAGTCGGATGAGTCCAACCTGTCACCACGGACCGCCATACTGCACCACTTTGAGCTTTTAGATGTGTACGTGTGCGAGCTTTCCAATAAGCGTAGTTGTCACCGATTAGCTGGGGAAGAACCTTAGCATGATCCATTCTGTAACACTCAACAACCCGTGAGATTGAACAAATTAACAGAATAAAGAAAAGCAATTAAAGCCGCTGAAAGCTTGAATTCAAGAGGCACAGAATAGCCAGATCGACAGACTAATAAATTAAGTCTACAGGCTCTGATACCAATTGAAATTGCACCGTGAATCTTGAATGCAAGATGTAACTTATATTTCTACTTGATTTTATGTTATGCAACAATCGCGTTCATTAATTAGATTTGTTAATCAAATGTAAATAACGAAAATTGAAAGCATAAAACAAAATGATAACACAAGAGAATTGTTACACAGTTCGGAGCGTTTCTCCTACGTCTACGGGGCAACCCACGTCTGCCCAATCCACTATAGATGTTCACCAAGGAGTATTACAAGAGATAAGTACAAATGGCTCTCAACCTTTACCACTATAACCCTTCCTAACACCTATTCAGGACTGAACCGTGCATGCCATAACAATTTGCAAGCGAAGCTTCAGCTGTACCAGGTACTGTCTGTGCAGTCCAAAATTAAACTACAATAATATAATCAGATTAATTTGATAACTTTATAGAGAATGCTTTCACTGAGAATAGTAGTTCGAAATCAGCAACTTTCCTCATTGGGGTGGCTTCCTTTTATAGTAAAATATTAATCTCACTTTGATCCACATAATTAGTATCCCATCCACATAATCAGCATCATATAATCTTCAATGAACCACAACCACACATTTGATTTGGAAGCCTCATTACGTGTACTGTATTGCTGACTTCCTTCATTTTCAATCTTAATTTCACCAATTAATTGTAGTCATTCAAATTAATTATTAGTTGATGGAAAATGGTCCAAAGAGTATAACATAAAGTATTTCACATTAAATAATTCTAACCCTTAATAATTAAATTAGCCAATTTATATTAAGGATTTTTTTACGTGTATCATTTATACACTTACAGTTGGGGGTGGGCGGCGAAGCGTGGACGAGGAAGTTGATGATGAAGAAGATGATATTTGATAATTAGGATGTACATATCTTGACATGCAAGATCCGAACTATCTTTCATTTCTAAAGAATTTGGGTTGGCAGGATGAAGATAGTGAAAATGAGACCTCTACATCTGAGGTAAAAATCAATGCATCTGCTAGTGATGATTTTTCAGTTCTGAAGGCTATAGCTGAAGTCCCACTTGGGGATTCTAGAAAAAGTAAAGGTGAGATCCAGAAGAACTTCTGAGTTTAAAAAGAAAGGCTCTTTGCCTTGAGACGTCAAGGAGAAACTGAGGAGGCTGAGGAAGTGTTGGAAATGACAGAGAAATTAAAGGCGCAGCTTGCTGGAATTAAATCTTCAACTCTTAATGGAGTAAAAGCTGAACCTAACATGCAAAAAGATCCTAACACGAACAAAATATCAATGTTTGCATGCAAACAATTTCCCTGGAAAGAGGTCACCATCAAGCCAAGAAGGAAGAGATTAAGAGATGATAATAGCTTTCTTAGATTGGGAACACTACTTTTTGTTGCGGTCCTCACACACGGTGCCATTTGATAGGACTAATAGATCCAAAGTAATTGTACGAATTGAATGTTCTTCTAAGAAATCATCGGAAATTGTTATGAAAATTGATTGAATGAGATAAACTGATGGCCCGTTTGGTTCACGGAATAGGCCAGAAATGACATAGCATTCCAGTAATAGGCAAATTCATTTGTTGCAAATCTTTGTATTCCCAGGAATAATATTCCTGGTAATAGCCTATTACCTCAAATAAGATAATATATATTACTGCCCCCTCCCTCTCGTATTAACTTATTCCTGAGTCCTCAGATTTTTTATTTTATTTTCTAATTGACCCTTTTGTTAAACATAAACATTCTTTGCTCTTTCTCTCGTCTCTTTGTGTTTGCAATTTCTTCCGGCCATCTGCATCAAATTCAAACTTCAAACAAAGGTATTTTTCTAAATTTTATTTTCTACAAATTAATTAATTAATTAATTATATATATATATATATATATATATATATATATATATATATATATATATATATATATATATATATATATATATATATAGAGGATTATTTTCAAATACAAACCCCCCTTAAAATACAAACTCCCCTAAAATACAAAGTGTGTGCATGTAAGTATGTTAATGTGTGCACGAGCTAATCCCAGATGTTGTTGGCAGTGTGCCCAGTGTGTGTGTGTGTGTGTGTGTGTATATATATATATATATATATATATATATATATATATATATATATATATATATATATATATATATATATATATATATATATATATACTGCTATGGCGGCGACTTAGTGCCGCGCCGCATCAGTGTAGGGTAATTTTCAAAACGTTGACATTTTTATTGGCATTCTCAGCACATATTCTTGATCCTGATCGATCATTAATCATTCTTCTTCATAGTTATATTTTGATTAATGACAAGGAATCTTCTGATCCACTGTAGTCTTCGATCAGGATCAAGACTGAGAAAAAAAGCTACTTTATTAGGATGATCAGTGAGCTTAAACGAGACAATGTCCATTTCATCATTTGTCAAACCATCAACCTCTTTTAATGCACGTCCACGCATCTGAAACATATCCATATCACGATCATATTGAAGACCATTGGACAAATTCTTTCCAACCTCTGACATTGTATTGCCTATTAGCTTCGCGGCATTAAACATATTCTCAGCACATATCTCAATAGCTTCATCATGACTCCTCTTTCTCTTACTTGAATTGCTTCTTTTTCTACCATCATTTTGTAGCTCAGGTTGTGTACTCGTTAAATCAATATCATCCAAACATTAGAATACAATTCCCAATGTCTATTCCTTCAGCGAACCAAACAACAGAATACAATTCCTATTCTATTCCTTACCTATTCCATTCCCTATGGAATAGCATTCCTATTCCCTTCAAATTTATTCCATAAACCAAACGGGCCATGAATGTAGAGAAGAAGAGAAAGGCATTGCTCTCTTGATTGTCATGTTGTAGAGAGTTGAATGGCCTTCCCCTTGTGTTGAAGGGTTAGGGTCCTTATATAGGTGAGGGACTGACCCTTCAGGAATAAAATATTCTCTAAGGGATACTTGACCCTTACCCGAATACCATACCAAGTAGATGTCCCGAACGTATGGGGAGGTATAATCAGAGAATAATCCATATCAAGTGTCATTCATAAAATGAGTGTTATTAAAAAAAACAATAATGTAGATCCGGTTTCCGATGAAAACCAGAGCTATGGCTCTAGTTCTCGGCTTCGGCTCTAACACTGGTCACTGGAAACCAATTTTCTGGTTGTGGGCAAGGAGGTGAAGAAGTTGCAGTTTTTCTTTAAAAGGAAGAAGATGAAGAAGTCAAGCTATGGAAGATGAACAATCGTTATGTTGTGGAACAGTGTCCACCTTGGTTATATGTTCATAATTACTGGACTATATGTTCAGAATTATAAAGCTATATATTTATAATTTTTGAACTTCATATTCACAATTATTGAATCTCTATATTCATAATTACAGAACTATATGTTCACAACTCTATGTTCATAATTATAGAACTATATATTCATAATTTTTGAACTGTATATTCATAATTATGAATAGTTTTGGAACCGTGTCCACCTAAAGGTGGACATAGTTCCACAACATAATTTGCCGAAGATGAAGAAGTAGTGCAAGAGAGGAAATAGGGAGCCTGGAAAATGACATTCCCTACAAAAAAAAAAAAAAAACAAAAACAAAAAAGTCATATTATGGAAAAGTGACTTTGTTTTCCCTTTGACCGGAAATCAATTTCCGTTAACTCTCATTTTTCTTTCCTTGCCAAACACGGAAAATTTGAAAAATGATTTTTAGAAATCAAATCATTTTCCTGGTTTTCAAACACAGCCTTAATGAAAGAATTCATATTAACGAATTTATATCGTGTCAATTCGTATCATATCAACTCGTTTAATCGGAAACTTGTTAACTTATTATGTTTATCAACTCAATACAAATTAGTGTTCACATTCTTATTTGAAATCTCAGCCTGTTTACGGTCTAAACCTAATAATACTTCACCTAAGCACGATAGGAAAACAAAATTGCAAGATCTAGCCAATATAGACCTATTTATAGTAAGTAGTAAAATTGGGGCATACTCAAACCAAATTGTCACGGGATAAACGACTTTGCAACGTCCAGGTCGAAAATTGAAATTAGTGAAATAGGGTGGGAGGTGAATGCAAATAAAGAAAATAAGAAACAGAGGGAATAAGACAGCATGAGATATGAAGAATGGAGGCGAGTTGGCTTCTGGGCATCTCTCTGTATAGCCCCCCGTAACCGAGTCAAGCCCCTTCCTAACTCGTCCCCTCACCTCCTCCTTCCGACCAAAACCTCTAGGCGTCGCATCTGCGCGTGTACGGAATTGCTTGTATACGTAATTTCGAAGCTGAATACTATTAACTTTTATTATTTACGTGATGGCGTCGGAGATCGAGATCGTGGAGGAGGTGGAATCCAGAGATCAGGAAAATGCGGCGGCGGCGGCGGCAGCGAATGATGGAGCCGCTTCAGCCGAGGCGGCGGAGGATGAGAGCGCGAAGAACGATGTTTACACGGCGGCGGCGTACGGTGACGTGGAGAAGCTACAGAGATTAGTCGAGAGCGAGGGATGCTCAGTATCTGAGTCCGATGGCCTCGGCTACTACGCCCTCCAGTGGGCCGCTCTTAACAACCGCTCTGCCGCTGCGCAATACATAATTGAGGTGTGCATCACTTCCCCCATATCGGAATATATTGTCATTTCCTGCTGTAATTCTCTTTGACCTGATCGTGTTTCGATTGCGTCCAAAATTTATGATGACTATCAAGGCGTTAATTTATTCAATTAGAAAGAATGCATATCTGATTTTCCAAAATTTGAATCATTTATGTCGTGATAGATATAAATATAGTATAACATTGATTTAATAAATTCTTAATTACTAGAAACCTAACCTCTTAATAGCAGAAGCTGTAGCGATGTTGATCTCCGGCAATAGTTGATGTCTCTTATGTTGCCTCTTGGACGATATACCTAAGAGTAACATTAGTCATTTTGTGCACTAAGAACTTAGATGGTGTATTGGTGTTATTCTGAGTAGTATGAGTACCGTAAATGCTATATATTGTATATATCCTGTATCTCATCAATACAGCCTTTATATTAGGTTCAGGCCAACCAAACAACTTAATAGGCTAGTCAGCTTGTATAATATATATTATATATTATGTACGAGAAAATCTTACATTGTCGCTGTTAAAATTGTAGTTGCTTGTTCTGTTTGAGAAAGTGCCTTACGTCTCATGGATCAGGTCTAAGGAACCTGTTGGAGGTAGACACTATTAGCTTGCGTGCGTTTATGTGAAGACAGGTAAACATGCATACTTGATATGTATGTGTCTCCAATCGAAATTCTGAACGAGGGTCACTTGCTTCCAAGGGGTAGCCAGGGTTTTGTTTTTGCTTAGTATGATATGGAAACACTTGAGTATTACTAACTCTTTTTCTAATCCAGTATTTTGACTTTTGAATTGTTGCTTTCTTTTACACATTATAGCATGACTGGTAGTTTGTTGGTGACATATTGGCAGCATGGAGGAGATGTCAATGCTGCGGATCATACAGGACAAACAGCATTACATTGGAGTGCAGTTCGAGGTGCAATCCAGGTTGCAGAACTTTTACTCCAAGAGGGTGCTCGGGTAAATACGGCTGATACATATGGATATCAGGTTTGTTTCTCAACAAATAATTTATTTATTATGTTGAATATGTCAATACAGTGACTTTTACAACTAATTATTTCAAAGGTTTTATTCAAAGTACTTGTGTGTTTACAGAACCATCATACAGAGCACCCTTTTAGGTTACAAACACAAGCAGTGGTTATTGAACTCTGAATTTTTTGTAATTCATCATTCCATTCGCATCTGGCTGTGTGTTTTTCAAAGATGACATGCTTTTGCAGGGTTGCGGTTTGCTATCTATTTGTCTTTTTGAAAATGAAAGGATTATGCTACTCCTTGCAGGCAATACATGTTGCTGCACAATATGGTCAGACAGCTTTTATTTATTATATTGTAAGAAAGTGGAATGCTTATCCTGATGTTCCTGACAACGATGGGAGAAGTCCTTTACACTGGTATTTTTCAAGCATTCTATTTACTTTTTATTATTAGGTGAGATTTTTCTAACCACTGATTTGTCCATTCTCATTTTTAGCCTGCTAAAGACAATGACCTTTAAGAATATTTACAAGAATTCTATTCTAGACACATAAGAAAGGGGAAAGGTCATTGATTACAATTATTTCTAGTGATGGGAAGTAATGGTTATGAGGTTCAATAGTTTCTTTATCATTACACAGTTTATTAAATGATTGAATCCTCAACTGTTCATTCATTGCATGGCATAACTGTGCATGTGTTTCTCCTTTTTATGTTTTTATATATTCTTTTCAATGGTGGGAATTTCTAGGGCTGCATACAAAGGTTTTGCTGATTGTTTACGCCTCTTGCTATTTCTGGATGCATATCGGGGACGACAGGATAAAGAGGGTAATTACAAGTACTAAGCTTTCTGGGCTTTGTGCAGACTGCAGAAATGCTTCTTAACTCTAGTTTCTACTTTAGGGTGTACTCCACTTCATTGGGCTGCTATCAGGGGTCACCTAGAAGCATGCACGGTGTTAGTACAGGCTGGCAACAAGGAAGACCTGATGGTGACAGATCACACTGGTCTTACGCCTGCACAGCTTGCTTCTGATAAAAATCATCGACAAGTTACCTTTTTCCTTGTAGGTATTCATTAATCTTGTAATCTGAATTCTTATTTCACGGTATTCCTATTTATATTTGTGCACAGTTTGCTTTCAACTCCAAGTCCCTTTCTCCTCAAATTTCCCTCCTAGTTTGTATTATTAACTTTATTAGTGCAAACTTTTCAAGTAGAAGATACATATTTATGATGTATTTAATCCACTAAAGTATACCATTCTGTAGGAAAATGCTAGACAGTTGTTTGAAAAACGTTGTGATGGGGACAGCTGGCTAGGAAAACTTATGAAATTAGGCCTTGCTCCGATACTTTGGTGTACAGTCTTTCTGCTACTTGTAACTTACGTCCACTCAGTCATTATGGGTAATTTTTGCTCATCACATTTCTTTTATTTTTTGTTTGTGTATGGTTCTTGACTTGAAACTTGGCCACAATACTTACTATACGCTGTTATACTTTTTGATTCAGCTCCTAATCTGCCAAAGTTAACAGCTGCTAGTGCTCTTTTTGCTTGGCTGGGTGTTTTCTTTGCAATTTCTGGACTAGTTATGTTTTACAAATGTAGCAGGTATGTATAGCTCATTCTAATTTGTCAACAACAAACATCAATAGTTGTAGCAGTTTATAATGTCTCAAAGTTGGATAAAAGGATTATCTTCACCAATAGTTCATGTGCTTTTCTCACTTGCTGAAACAGTGTCAATTATTTTGTGTTGCAAATATGCCAAAAGAATTTAACAATTAACTTTCTTCTTTTTCAACATAGCATATTAAAAATGCACTATTATAGTTCAATATTTAACTTTCTTCTGTTTCAAATTAGCAATAGATAGTAGAACTTTGTGTTGGTAAAATAGACTTATTGCCAACACTGATTGCATACAATGGGTACTAAAACCATCATGTTTGTTACCCTTTGTGAAAGTTTGCTCCTCTAGAATGTCTCATAAAAGAGGTACACACAGCCAAAAGCATGTGAACTGCAAATTATAATATATTACTATCTAGAATTTTTTTCACTTTGTCAAAGTTTGCTCCTCTGGAACGTCTCATAAAAAAATTAACACATACAGCCAAAAGCGTGTGAACTGCAAACTATACTATATTACTATCTGGATTTTTTTTCCACTTTTAGTTCCACGACTTCTATATCCATGACATATGACTAATCTGATGAAAACTTGCCGGAGTTCATCAAAATACTGGCATTTGGGAATAATTAAGTGGGATTTTTAATTTTTTTGACGATTTCTAGTGAGTTGTCAGTGGATTAGTGGTCGGAGGGACCAAAAGTGGCAAAAGCTATGATAGTTATGCACCAAAAGTGACAAAAATGAAACTTGAGGACCAAAAGTGGAAAATATTCCTACTATCTATCATGCTTGTCTTCAGTCTTGCTGTTGTGGCTCTCTCCACTATTATAAGCTACATAAAGTGCCACTGTTCTGTGTATTTCTGATGGCTATTGCATGCAATCCAATTTAACATGCTTGGTTTATTGTTGATTTCTGAATCCTTGCTGCCCCTTATATTTGCAGCAAAGATCCAGGTTACATTAGAATGAGCGCACATGATTCACAAGATATAAAGGATGATGTATGTTATCTTCTCTTGCTTTTCCCTTAAATACACCACTATTGCCACAAATTGAAAAAGTTAGAGGATTAATATTTAAAAGAAGAGCGTAATGAGAAATTTGTACAAGTGTGCGATTGTCAAATATGTAATATACTTTTGCTCACTTCAGTTTAGCTATCACTAAGTCCAAAGAAAGAAAGTTTTGATATTCTAAGCTTATTTCATATTTGGCCTCATTTTTCTCAGAGCATAGTATCATCATTGAGTAATGCTTGTAAAAATCTTATGGGGTGATGTTTATGTAACAACTTTCTTATTAGGTTGAGTGTGTTATCTTATGATAGGAACCCTTGTTAAAGATTGATATTGATCATCCTGCATTGCTTGCTGGGAACTGGTCTCAACTATGCTCCACATGCAAGGTGCTGTATTCTTTTAGTTTATTTATTATTTATTATATTTTTAACCTCTACTTTTTAATTTGATAAAGCCTTATTTTCTAAATTATGTTCTTCCAGTTGTACTAATGTTTATTTGTTTTTCCTTCAGATTGTCCGTCCTCTTCGTGCAAAGCATTGTTCAACCTGTGGTCATTGTGTGGAACAGTTTGATCACCATTGTCCTTGGGTATCTAATTGCATTGGCAAGGTGCTTAGTCTAATTTTCTACCATCATTCTTTTGTTGTCCTATATTTATTCTTCCATTTATTGTCTGCACAGTTCTTTGAGCTGTAATATATGCGTATGCTAGTTTATATCTTAATCGTGGCCTGACCTATCGATATGAACTCTGTCTCACTCAGAAAAACAAATGGGAATTTTTCCTGTTTCTTGTTCTTGAAGTATCGGCTATGCTTGTAACTGGTGGAGTTGCTCTCACAAGTAAGAGTTCTTTATTTTTTTTTTATTTTTTTTTTTTGGTCAAACCACAAGGTGTCCTGAGCAGACCCTAATTGTAGGAGGTACCTTTAAGCCCGTACCATACTCAGAATAATCTCTGTTTGCACCTGGACGGCCCAATTAAGGGGCAAAGTACTGGTCAGATTGGTTTTTCAATACGAGAGGGGGTTCTAACTCCCGCCTTCTCTATAAAGAAATCTGAGATTTTTGGCTCCTAGCAGCAAGTTTCTTTGACATCTGTTGTGATTATTAAAATACCTCTAAACATCACAGGAATTTTGACGGATCCTATGGCCCCGTCTTCTACTTTTCTCTGGTTGAACTATGCTGGCACTCAGCATATTGGTGCTATAGCATTTTTTGTTGCAGACTTCTTCATTTTCTCTGGTGTAGCAGTATTAACAATCATACAGGCTTCTCAGGTTTGTTTCTGAATATTTTATGCAATTTCTATTACTCCTTAATAAGTTTAGCATCAAAATATCTGAAACAAAGGTGGGGGGAAGGGACCATCATTTCCTCAGCTTTACTGTTTCATGCAACATGCCCTAGGATACTATCCCCCACCATATTTGCATTTTTCCTCTTTCTCGAGGTCAACTTCCAGTTTTTGGCCAATTATCTTGTGGTCTGATGGCATCACTGTCACCATTCCAAACGGAAAGTCACAGGTTCGAGTCCTATCCCAATCAAGATGTTGGCATTAGGTTAGATTGTAGTTATCAAAAAAAAAAAAAAACTTCCAGGTTTTGAAAAATTATTCTTTTATCCTTTTAAATAAGACAAGTTGTAGAGCCGGGGAGTTTTGTTGCTTCTTATATTTGAAATCAATCCATTATTAGGAGAAAACCTAGAAAGCAATCTCCATTTCTTTTCCGTTGACAAGTTGGAACTTTTGAGAACATTGAAAACAAATTCGCACATCCCATAGTTATTTAAGGAGTTTTCCTCTCTCACTCTCTTCAACGTAAACCCAAAGGGGCTTGCTTGTTTCAATTCTGCTAAAGTCATTATCATGGAGGGCTGGCATTTTAGTTTACCTTATCCATGTTACAGATCTCACAAAACATTACAACAAATGAAGTAGCAAATACAACGCGCTATAGTTACCTTAACGATGAAGCTGGTCAATTCAGAAATCCATATGATCATGGGGTTAAGCAAAATTGTTCAGATTTCTTGATAAATGGCTATAGTGAAGACATTGTGTATACTGAAGAAGAATCAGCTTCTCCCGAAGGAGATGAGACGAGGCATATTGCTCAGAGTTCAACCCTTCAAACAAGTGCAGCAAGACTACATTCTCACCAGGGCAATGGGAATGGGCATGTAGTTTTGGATGTGAATAAGAGCACTAGTCTTCAAAATCATGTTCTCTCTTCTAACTGCAGTCGCCATCTTAGTAGCAAGCTCAAAACTGGCTATTTACCGTTAGGATTTGGTATTGGCCTAGGGCGAAGCATCTTTCGCACTGCTCTAGTTTCATGATTAATAATTTTATATCAATCCTTGCCGATTGATGTTGTATTCTTTCGTGCATGCCATTGTTTTGTAAGTTCATAAGTGTAGATGTAATTCAATTATTTACAAGATAGTACTTGTCCTCAACTTGTGAAATTGTCATGGCTATACTGATTATGCTGGTTAGTTAAACTTTACTCACGGGGTGTATTCAATCATTACAACTTTTAATTTTTGTAAAGTCGTTTAAATTTTTGTAAACTTTGTAAGAGTGTAAACACATTCATAAATTTTTATTAACTTTTCACAGAGAAAAAATGAAAATAGTCTGATCGAATGATTGATCTAATAGAATGATTTTTACCCATGTGTTTTCTTGCCAATTCAATACGTATGTGTTTTTTTGTCAATTCAAAAAATTCGCATACTAAAATTTGGCCAATGAACTAGGCAAAAAAAGAACTTGTTACGAATAACATCTTGTTGGATCGAAACGTGTAAATGCTGACTAATCTCCTTGCTGTTGAACTTGGTAAAATGAAGTCTTAAGAACTGCATTTTACAATGACTTCAATTTTTATTATTTACAATATTCTTAGAAAAAAATATTATAATATATCATAAAATTCTTATTACAATTTTGAGTTAATGAACGATTTGGTCTCTTAATTATTAGCGAACTGTCAATGCAGTCCCTCAATCACTTATTCATCGATTTGGTCCCCGAAAACAAATATTTTTAGTCGATTTAGTCCTCCGGCCATCGCTTTGGTTCCCGAAAACAATTATTTTTAGTCGATTTAGTCCCTCCGGCCATCGATGGAAGACGGTCTGAGGTACTAAATCGACTAAAAATAATTGTTTTTGAAGACCAAATCGATGAATAAGCAATTGAGGGGTTACATTGATAGTTCGCTAATAATTGAGAGACCAAATTGTTCATTAACTCTACAATTTTTCTTTTACGTCAATATTCTCAACATTATGATTTTTACTAGTTTTCCATTGGGATAATGCCCAATGATTATTTTTAAATAAGTACTTCAAATATATCAATGCAAGATTATATTGGAGATGTTCATGCATAAATAATTGAATGTTGAATTTGTTTATTTAAATTAGTAATTCAAAGCATATGAATGCAAGATAATATAGGAGCGAGAGATAGATTATAATTGTCACTCAACTAAATGCTTGCATCTTTGTAAATTGTAATAATGCTAGTCTAAATACTTAGTCTAAAACCAAGACTATGTGGTTTAATGGTATCCGGGTTGGACTTTCATTTGGAAAGTTGTAAGTTCAAGTCTGAGTGGATTATTATTATTATTATTGTTGTTGTTGTTGTTGTTGTTGTCGTTGTCGTTGTCGTTGTCGTTGTCGTTGTTGTTGTTGTTGTTGGTGTTGTTGTTGTTGTTGTTGGTGGTGGTAATGTGTCATGTGCAATTGGGTTACTGGTGGTAGCATAAAAGACATCGCCATGCAATGAGATTATGGTGTAGGAAGTTTTAGATTTTCCTTGTATATATGACTGGATCTTAGTAGTACTATGAAATCTTTATCTTGCAAGCGCCTGTTGATATTTGACAGTACTAATTTTCCCCTACATGTTTCATGTGTTGCGAGATGTGTGTCGTAAATTCTCATGTGAAAGTATTGAACAAAATAGTACTACCTCCGTCCCATTTTATGTGTCTTAGTTCGGTAAACGAGGCTTGACTGAAGTTATTTTTAATCTAATTTTAAATATATACAAAATTTATATATTTAGAAACTACAATAAAAGTAATATTAAACACAAAAAATCAAATTTAAAAATAAGTAAAAAATACTAAAGAAAATAAACAAAGAAGAAAGAGTTAGTTTGACCCAATGAATAGTAAGTAGGACAGATAAAATGGGACAAATGGAGTAATATTTATTATATTTGTAGAAGGTTCATGAGTAGTATTTCCTGTTCTAGTTCCATAACTTGTTTACTTAATAGCAACAACAATGACTCTGCAGGAAATTCGAATACTAAGTATTTTTGTTGTCAAGGTTGATACTGATTTTGCCTTTAATCCAAACAGGTCGAGTCTAAAACATGAAATGAATTGTAAATTTATATTAGTTCAAATATATTTAAAGGATGCACAATAAGTATTTTACATGCAAGATCAATGAATGCTGCAACGATGGCTATTTTTGAAATTTCTTCATTTTCTAGATTTGCAAGATTGATTGCGGAATTGTTGTAGTCTCGGCATCATTTTGATACGTCAAGTGTGTCACGATGTTTTATTGCCTGACATTGGCATTTTTAATAATGCGTATTAAATGTAGCTACGTAAGATACTGGTTTAATTACCATTTACATATTATTATCAGCATAAAAGTATATCGGTCCTTTAGGTGTTATGCTCGAGTTACTTTTGGTTCAACCATTATTGTTGAATGAGTTCTTGTGGTAGAGAAATTCATAGTTTATTTAAGGAATAAAATTAGATAAGGTATTAAAAATTAATACATTTTAAATCACCTTAATGAAAAAAAATGATTTACATTTAAAGTTAACAACTGTAATGTAATCCAGAAATATTACGACGGGGTAGTTTTCCGCTTCAATTTCTTGGATTATTTGAATATCCTCTTTGTCAACAAATCCTCTCGAAGAAGTTAATATGACTGACTTCAAACTGTTTTTTATTTTTTCCATGGTATTAAAAAGTATTTGGTAAATAAATATATAACATATTTTGTATTATAACTTTGATATTTAATTACAAGGTAGTGTAAAATGATGACAATGGACAATATAGTGAATTTAATTAAGAGTTAATTCCACCGGAGGTCCCTTGTCTTTGGTGGCAATTCCAAATTTAGTCTCAGACTATCGTTTTTGTCATTTTACATCCCATGCTATCGTTTTTAGACACTTTTAGTCCTTCTCATGATATTTTCTATTTTTAGTAAGAGCATTTTTGTCTCTTCATATTTTTCATTTGTTATTTTTCTAGTTTCAACAAGTTTAATTGGTTTAGGATTTTACTAAAACTTGGTTGAAAAATATGGTTACTAAAAGTTAGAGGTTACCTAAAGTTCTAAACCAATTAAACTGGTTGAAACCTGAAAAATAACAAAAGAAAAATATGAAAAGACAAAAATGTCCTTACTAAAAATAGAAAATATCATGAGAAGGACTAAAAGTGTCCAAAAAACAATAGTCTGGGATGTAAAATGACAAAAATGATAGTCTGAGACTAAATTTGGAATTGTCACCAAAGACAAGGGACCTCCGGTGGAATTAACTCATTTAATTAATTAATAAATTTGAAGGTAAAGAATCGTTGCATTGTAGAAAATAAAGATAATAAAAGTAATGAAATTATTATATCCCTTTTAAAATTTTTTGATAATGAATATTTTTTTTTAATAAAGGCATTATAGACATTTAATTCTAAATTAAAGAGGTGCTTATGTATTATTTTTTATTCTAGCTATTAATATATTTAATTTAATAATAGTAATAGAGTGTGGTACTTTTCATCCACAACAATGAAGTCATTGATTTAAAAAAAAAAAATACATTCGTTATTGATACAAATTGTTTTGGAAGTTTGTCAATGACAATTATTACAATTACTGTCAATAGAGGATGATAATGATATACGAACCAGAACGTTGCGGCGGTTGCTAATCACGCGTCACTCCAGAGTCCAGAAAATCGCCGGCATGTATGAACTCTTGAGCAGCGAAGAAATCCGAGAGTTCCGTCAGAGTCACCGGCTAGCCGTGAGTAGCTAAAGAAGACGCCATGGTTCAAAACTCCGACTGAAGTCCGCGAAAAACGTATAGGTTCTGTTCGTCAAGGGAGACTGGACGCCCGGCAAGCGATAGCTCTTCCACCAACACTTGCGCCGACCAAGAAATTCTATTACAGTCGAATTACCCTGACGAAGAGACTGCAACTAACCAAGCAAGCGCAATGCCCGAGCTCGCGTTGAAGAACCTAAAGACAACTCAATTGACTCCCAAATTTGTCTCGACGTCGTACGACCAACTTCTAAGTGCATAACCTCTTCGGACAGTGGGGAAATCAGCATAGACATGATCGATTGATGTTGTTGGTATTAGTGTTATTATTATTTCAGATTATTATTTTATAATATAGTCTTGTAATATATAGTTGTTATTAGTTAGTCAAAGCTTGTTCTATATGTCAGGGACAGTTAGAGTTTTAGTTGTTCTGATATACTCTGTAATCTCTATCTGTTTTGAATTGAATCGAAGACATTCTCTAATCTGGTATCAGCCGGGACTCGATCCTATTTTCTAATCTCCACCGTAAATTTTCCCCCTTCCACCGTAACCTCCACGGTCAAATCATTCGATCCTCCACCTTCCACCCAAGATGTCTTCGAACTCCTCCGAAGCTACGCCTTCCGCTGCTGCCGCCGGAGCACCATCTCCGACCGCCGGCAATTCTCTCTCGGGCGCCCACCACTACGTCACCATGAAGCTGACTTCCCGGAACTTTTTGTTCTGGCGTACACAGCTGCTCCCATTCCTTAGGAGCCAGGATCTCCTCGGATATGTGGATGGTAGTCTGCCCTGCCCACCTGCAACCATAGCCGCACCGTCGTCCTCTGCCGGATCCGGCACCATTCCGGCGGCGAGTGTCGTTCCTAATCCAGCGTTCCACGCTTGGGTCAAGCAGGACCAAGCGATCCTCTCTCTTGTGATCTCCTCAATGTCAGATGAGGTCCTGTACCTAGCTCTTGGCCGCAACACGTCTGCTGCAATATGGGAATCCATTACCACGGCGTTAGGTTCCTCCAGCCAAGCTAGGTGTCTCAATTTGTTGGGACAATTCCAGCTTCTCCGCCAAGGGAATTCCACCACCGCCGATTATCTTGGGCGTGCGGGGGTGTTGGTGGAATCTCTCATTCAAGCCGGACGGCCCTTGTCGTTGATGGAACAAAACCTGTACGTCATTCGCGGGTTGCGTCCAGAACTCAAGACCTTGGCTGCCTCATTCACCTTCGGCAACGCTGTTACGCTCTCACATCTCTCGGATTACCTGTAGGCGAATGAATTCATTCTCGTCGATGAATATCCTTCGGTCGACGGAACTGCTGCCCACACTGCTTTTTACGCTGGCTCGGGTCGTGGTTCGTCTACTGGAGGGGGACGGCAGCAGCAACAGCAGTCCGGTGGCCGAGGCTCGCAGCAGTCCGGTGGCCGAGGAGGGCGCGGTGGCCGGCAGAACAGAGGAGGACGCGGAGGTCCACGGTGCCAGATCTGTCGGTCCCATGGACATTCCGCCATATACTGCTTCAAGAGGTACCATCCGCAACCTGCTGCACCGCAAGCCACGTGGCCGTGTCAGGTGAGACTCCGCCGGCGCCGGTGCATGCTCCTCCAGATGTAAACATAATGGTCCAGTCAGAAGAATACACTGGTTCTGATGTGCTCCGTGTGGGCAATGGTGCAGGTTTGGCCATTACTAGAGTCGGTCGTGCATCCCTCCCGTCCGCGTCAAAGTCTCTTAATTTAAACAATATATTACATGTTCCACATCTATCGGTCCCGTTACTTTCTGTACATAAATTTACAGTAGATAACGGTGTTTATTTTGAGTTTCATGATTCTTGTTTCTTTGTGAAGGATTCCATAACCAAAGCGGTCCTGCTTAGGGGTCCAGTTACAGGCGGTCTCTACAAGCTTTCGGCGTCACCTTCACATTTTGCATATGTCAGTTCCCAGGCCACTCCTACAGTTTGGCACCGAAGGCTCGGTCACCCGCACAAAACGGTCCAGAATAAAGTCCTACAAATTTGCCCAGTCAAACCCAATAAAAATGATCCGGTCAACTCTTGCGTTTCGTGTCACTTGGGGAAATCGTCGCGGTTTAAATTAGACAATGTACTACGTTCTAGTGAAAATGTACTAGATCTTATTTTTACCGATATTTGGGGACCATCCCCGGTCCTGTCTGTTAGTGGATATCGTTATTTTTGTTTGTTTGTAGATGATTTCTCCCGTTTCTGCTGGTTTTATCCGTTACGGGTAAAATCAGACATATATAAATGTTTCGAGTCGTTTCGTGTTCTGGTCGAGCGCCAATTTGGGCGTTCTATAAAGTCAATCCAATTGGATCTAGGGGGTGAATACAGAAAATTACACACTGTATTTCAAACCTTAGGCATTAATCATCGCCAGTCATGTGCATATACACATGAGCAAAATGGGCGTGTAGAGCGCCGCAATCGACACATTGTCGAAATGGGCCTAACTCTACTTGCTGAGGGCCAAGTACCTCATGAATACTGGGAATATGCCTTTGAAACGGCCACTGTCTTAATCAATTACTTACCATCTTCTGCTATTAATTATGATAGCCCATACTCGCGTCTGTTCAAAGCACCACCTCCATACACCTTTCTTCGCGTCTTTGGGTGCCAGTGTTACCCGTATCTACGCCCGTATAACAGGCATAAGATAGAGTATCGCTCCACCCCGTGCGTCTTCCTAGGTTATCCACCCTCCTTTAGGGGATATAGATGCACTGACTTGGCTACTGGTAAGACCTATATCTGTCGCCATGTCCGTTTTGATGAACATGTGTTTCCCTTTTCAGCGAAGAAAGTGCAACAAGTTACGCCTCCCCCGAGCTTACCGTGGGCGGCAGCACCTGTTGTCACGACGAGTACATCTTTGGTACTCACTGATCCGCCGAGTCCACAAGAGGTTGTTGAGCCTGACCCCATGCCCTTAGCTCGTGATCCACCGCAGCTGGCAATCACCCACACCGCACCGGTTCGAACCCGGAAAAGGCGTGTTCAGTTGCAAGGACGAGACCATGTCATGCGTCTCCGGCACATGACTAAAGGTACAGACGAGCCCTTTCAGGCCTTAACTATCACTGCAGACCCGACGTGTTATTCCCAGGCCGTTGGGCATGCCCATTGGCGTGAGGCCATGGATCAGGAGTTTAATGCTCTTCTCCATAATCATACTTGGCGCCTTGTCCCACCAGAACCCCATATGAATATAATTGGGTGCAAATGGGTGTTTCGCACCAAGCGCACCGCGGATGGTTCAGTAGAGCGGTATAAGGCTCGTTTGGTTGCCAAGGGGTTTAACCAGGTTGCCAGGGAGGACTTCTTCGACACATTTAGCCCTGTCGTCAAACCCACTACTGTACGCATGTTGTTTTCTTTGGCGGTATCCAAAGGTTGGACTTTACGGCAGTTGGATGTCCACAACGCCTTTCTAAACGGCCATCTGGACGAAACAGTTTATATGAAACAGCCGCCGGGGTACGAGGACCCCACCACACCGGGTCATGTTTGTCATCTACAGCGGTCCTTATATGGATTGAAGCAGGCGCCCAGGGCCTGGTTCAAGCGTCTTCACGATTTTCTACTGTACACAGGCTTCCAGGCGTCCAAAACCGATGTTTCTTTGTTTTACTACACTGCAGGAGATTCTCGAGTGTTTTTGTTAGTCTACGTAGATGACATCATTATGATGGGCAATGATGTCAAGCTTGTGGCCACTTTACTTCAAAAACTGTCTACGACCTTCAAAATACGAGATCTAGGGACCTCGGGATTCTTTTTGGGTATCGAGACAGTTGTGGTAGGTACTGGTCTTCTCTTATCACAACGGCGCTATATGACAGATCTGCTTGGTCGTTCGGGTATGGTAGACTGCAAGCCCCTTACTACTCCAGCTGCTGTAACCAAACCAACCACTACGGTGGACACCCCGTATGATAATCCGACGCAGTATCGGCGTATTGTTGGCACGTTACAGTATTTAACGATCACTCGACCAGACTTGGCTTATGCGGTCAATCGGCTCTGTCAATTCATGCATTCCCCAACCGAAGGACACTGGAATCTAGTCAAACGTGTGCTGCGTTATATCAAGGGTACCTTAGACTATGGGTTGCAATTCACACCGTCTACTTCTACTGTCATTCATGCCTACTCTGATTCAGACTGGGCTGGCTGTCCCATTGACAGGAAGAGTACTAGTGGTTATGCTGTTTACTTGGGTTCCAATCTCATCTCATGGCTATCCAAGAAACAGCGCACTGTGGCTCGTTCTTCCACTGAAGCTGAGTATAAGTCCTTGGCTGATGTTTCGGCTGAGGTTACCTGGATTGTTTCGTTACTCAAGGAGCTTGGGTTACACTCTGGTCAACCTGCGACTCTGTGGTGTGACAATCTTGGTGCTACGTATTTGTGTGCAAACCCGGTTTTTCACGCTCGCACTAAACACGTAGAGATCGACTACCACTTCGTCCGTGATAAAGTGGCTGCAGGGGATTTCGTGGTGAATTATGTGTCGACTAAAGATCAACTAGCGGATATTCTCACCAAGCCGCTACCGTCACCGCGTTTTGCTACTCTCCGAGGCAAGCTCAATATGGCCTCACTGCCACCTTGCGCTTGAGGGGGTGTATTAGTGTTATTATTATTTCAGATTATTATTTTATAATATAGTCTTGTAATATATAGTTGTTATTAGTTAGTCAAAGCTTGTTCTATATGTCAGGGACAGTTAGAGTTTTAGCTGTTCTGATATACTCTGTAATCTCTATCTGTTTTGAATTGAATCGAAGACATTCTCTAATCGTTGGACCTAGGTGGGATAGGCCGGATTTAATACTGGAGGAGCAGAAGCATCACCAGAAGCTGGAGACACCATAGCCGGCGGATACGGGAAGCTACCGTCAACATACCCGAGCAAGTTTTGACCACAAAGAAACGGGACCAATTGTGTACGCCAGAAAAGATAATTACGAGTTGTCAATTTGATAGAAACAAAATGATGCGCCGACAACAAGGAAACGGTGCAACAGGTGGTGGTAAAGCAGAAATAAGCTTCAGAAACAGTCCGCTTGGAACTAGAAGAACTGTCATTGGCCGCCATTAGAGTCCCGGTGTTCATTTTTGTAATAGTGGGCCAAAAGGGAACTAAGAAGACTTAGAGAATCAAACCAAAATTAGTATTTATTTAGACTATCGTTTTTAGACTAAGTATTTAGACTATCGATTTTACAAAGTTGCAAACATTTATTTTAGTGCTAATTATAATGAATCTCCTATATTATCTTGCATTAATATACTTTGAATTGCCTATTTAAATAAATAAATTCGACATTTAGTTACCTATGTATGAATTTCTCCTATGTAATCTCGGATTGATATATTTTGAAATATTTATTTAAATATAAACATTAAGCATTAGCTATTCGCGCAATGAGCGTGTAAAACTAGTATTGTTATATGACTAAGTTTGTTAAAAAATCGAAGGAAAACATATCGAGAGTTGAGTGTTTTTTTTTTTTTTTTTTTTTGGAAGTAAGACATTATAAAAAAATCAATAACAATAATTAATAACAAATAAAAATAATACAAAAATGCAAAACTGTCTGCTATATATCTCATCTCACCCAAAAAATGAGACAATGCAAAATGTAAGGTTGCTGAGTATTGAGAAAAAATAAAATAAAAAAAAGGTTAGTCCTAAAGAATTTGGAGCAGCTCGTAAGCGCCAAATACAGTGATAAATTAAGCATCACGAAGACCTGCAAAACCAACAATTTCAGAGTCTTAAGCACAATCTGGGAAACCATAATTGTCAAAGGTAAATTAAACAATGTCCATATTTTATATTGGCATTGGACAAGAACCACTCACCACAGATTGCATATATGCAATGGGTGCTCAAAGCATAGATAGAGATAATATAAACTACAGTAGTGTTATTATATTGGTGTAGCATGTATATATATATATAGGGGGAATAGAGTGTTTATGTAAAAAGTAAAGATTAATCTCAACTGTCTCATTAATAATTGAGAGTCAATTTTATAATTATTGAGACCTTTTTGAGAGGAGGCAAACTTAAAAATTTAGTAATACTAAGATTCTAGCAATTAGGTATGACTATGCCCAGACTTTTTACCAGAAAGGTGTTCTCACCTGATAACAAATTAAACAAAGAAGCAGACACCAGAGACCATCTAGAATTCTTCCATTGTTTCTATATATAGTAACAACGTACGTACTCATCTTGCATTAATTGTCCAATTGATCCTGTAATCCGGAAACTCTTTGCCGAAGCAATGGCTCCAAATGTAAAGCAGGAATCTCCATTTGCCACCTAATTGCTTCATACATCTCATTCCATGCTTGTTGTGTCTCATCAACATTGTACCCTAAAATATAATAATGGTGCAGCTAGTAATTAATTTATCATTACATGACATGACATTTCGGGGGGAAACACTGCTCCAAGAAGCTGATTTACCACCTCAAAACGCCATTCAGCGGCATTTTGAGAAGAAATGCTGCTTCAAGAAGCTGATTTACCACCTCAAAACGCCATTCAGCGGCATTTTAGGAAGGAATGCTGCTCCAAGAAGCTGATTTACCACCTCAAAACGCCATTGAGCGGCATTTCGAGAAGAAATGCTGCTCCAAGAAACTGATTTACCACCTCAAATGCCATTCAACGGCATTTCGAGAAGAAATGTTGCTCCAAAAAGCTGATTTACCACCTCAAAACGCTATTCAGCGGCATTTCGAGAAGAAATGCTGCTCCAAGAAGCTGATTTACCATCTCAAAACGCCATTCAACGGCATTTCGAGAAGAAATGCTGCTCCAAGAAGCTGATTTACCAAACACTGTAATTGGCTTATTTGGTCATGTCAAACAGCCCACAATGTTGTAATTGGCTTATTTGACCATGTCAAACAGCCCACAATGTTATGATTGGCTTATTTGACCATGTCAAACAGCCCACAATGTTTTTGTTTTTTTTGGTATCTATTGCAGTCTAAAGAGTCAATATCCCACCGTCGGAGTTCAATCTGGTGATCATCCCTCAAGGTGAGCCACAGAGGTGCCAACTAAGCACAAGGTGCTTGGTGACAGCAAAGAATGCTAAATCAGTCAAATTTGGCTGATCAGTTGTATCACCAAACATGGCCAAAGTTTGAAAAAAAAAACAAAAAATCTAGCTTACCTTCCATTGCGTTGGAACAATGGTTCTTTACCATAACAGCAATATCTTCAGGAGATGCTCCAGCAAGTTCAAATTTATGAGAAGCAGCACCCAAACAGTATTCCCAGTTAGGCTCTCCCAGTTTGAACTCCACAACTGATCTTTCATACAACATAGTCCCCCACAGAAGATTCACCTGAGACCTAATATTGGCAGCCTGCTCTGCAGTTTCCTCTGCAGATATCTCTGAAAACAAATTCCCCAGTTTCATTTGCTGCAACAGTCCCCGAGATCCCCCGCTTTGATTATTCGCCACTTCAATCAGATGCTGCACCAATGCCTCCTCCCACATCTTTATACCCCTCTCCATATTCTTGCTCGAGTTGTTGTAAAGCTGAAGAACTTCCGAAGAAGGCCACGACTCGAGATCTGTGTCTGTGTTAATCGCGTAATACCAAGACAGTTTCGCCTGCTCGAACTGGAGCTGCCCCAGAGCGATAATGGCTTCGTAGAAATTCGGTTTGATCTTCAGTGCCTCTTCGAATCTTTTCCCAGCCATTGTGTATTCCTTTTGCACTAAAGTAAAGGCATCTGTTATCTGTTTCATAATGGATTCTGAATCTCCCACATTATATTCATCTGTGAAAGCCCTTCTCCTTGCCCTGGACATCAGAGCATTCCCCCAGTTAAATAGCCCCAGAGCAGCTAGATCTTGAAACTTCTCTTCAGATGTGCTTAAAATGTCTTGAGCTTCTTCACTCGTCACCGTTTCTTCCATGGCCTCCGAGTATAGCTTCACACCGACATCGTGCAAGTCCAAATAACAATCTGACTCGAACCCAACGCAGTGCTTGAACAAATACGCGAAATGGATGGTCCAATCATCAATAACACAAGATGTAGTACTACTACTCCCCTTTCTTGTTCCTGGGCTCTCCATTTCTTCAGCTATTAGCTTTGTTTGGTTCTCATATTCTTCTTCTTCTGCTTCTTCTTCTTCTTTTTCGTCCTCGGCTTTATCTTCCTCCTGTTTCATCGTCTCGAGTAACAGAGGGTCTTGGTCGGGGTTAACATCTACGATATGAAGTCTGATGAAACCATGGGGGGCAACTGAGGATTGAGCCCACCTAAACTCCTCACTTGTGGTCATTGTCACCATGTCGCCTTCTTGGTCCTTGTATTTGATTAGGATGGAGTTACAGTTTGGGAAGCGGTTACATATGATCTCCCGGAGCTTCAAGACGGTGCAATCCGTGGGAACTTGGGCAAATCTTATGTCGTCTCCGAATATTAGTTTCACTGTTCTTCTCGGCTCTATAGCAGCAGCAGCAACAGCTTCGTTAGTTTCAGTCATTATTTCCCCAACCACCAATTTGTCTTCAGCCTTTCTTTCCTCCTCGGATTTGTTCTTATCCTTCTTTTCAACCTTTTTGTTCTTCTCACAATTGCATTTGGGAACCTCCTTCTCCTTCTTCTCCTTCTTCTTCTTAGCCTTCTTTTCTTCCTCGTCCTCGTTGTCGTTACCATTATCACTCAGAACCTCCTTCTTCTTCTTCTTAGCCTTCTTTTCCTCCTTCTCCTCCTTGTGGTTAGCATTATCACTCGGAACATCCTTCTCCTTCTCCTTAGCCTTCTTTTCGTCGTCCTCCTCGTTGTCGTTACCAGTATCACTCAGAATATCGAATCGGTTTTGTTCAACAGTTGTATTGGTCGCCATGCTTTCCTCACTCTTTGCTTCATCCTCATCACTGCTGCTGACCTCACTATCACTCTTCTTCTTCTTCTTCTTTTTCTTCTTCTTCTTCTTCCCCTGAATTAATCCTCCATTGGGAACTTTCTTCTTTGTCTCGAATTGATTGTCTTCGTCTTCGTCACTATTTATCCCTTGCCCATTGCCATTTCTCTTCTCCTTAGCCTTCCTAGCCTTCTTTTCTCTCTTTTTGGCGGCCCGGGAGGCGACAACCTCTGATGCGGAGTTATTGTCTTTGTCATTTTCATTGTCATTATCATCATATTCTTCTTCGTCTTCGCCTTTCTTCTTCTTCTGTCCTTTCTTCTTCTTCCCCACGGGCGACTTATCCGCCTTGAAGGAACTAGAGGAGGACAGAACAGGCGGCTCGACGTACTCCGGCACCGGGATCAAATCCACCGGAACGTCAGCCGCGCCGCCGTTTAAATCAATGGTGGCCTTCACCCGCTCCGCAATCTCCGCCGCCATGAAATTATTCTTCTCCATCCCCAGAACTCTCCTGGCGTCCCTGAGCGCCAAATCAAGGCGGCTGAGAGCCTCATAACACCGCGCCCTCTTGAGAAGCGCCTTGGTGTACATGGGATTAACCTCCAGAGCCAAATTGCATTCGTAAACCGCCTTGGGGTACTCGCTGCTCCCCATCTGCATATAACACGCCGCCATGTTGCTCCGCAGGTAGGGCACGTCTACGTGGTTTCCCGGCAGCAATTTTATGGCTTTCTCGTACATTAACATCGCCACCTCGTAATCCCTTCTCTGGAACAATCTGTTGCCTTCCTCCCTCAGCTCCTGCGACAGAGAAATGAAGGCCACCGTGTCCTTATCGTACGCTCTCGGGCTCTCCTTTTCGCATTTTCTCTTCTGCTTCCTACTTGAACCACCAATCTGTTTCTTCTTCTGTTCTTTCTGCTTCCCCATACCAGAATATAAACCCTCCAATCCAATCCAATCCAATCCAATCCAATTCAATCCAACAATATATAATTAATTACAACAACAACAACAACAAAAAATCATGTAAATATAAAACCCCAGAATCCTAAAACACACATCTATCTACAAATTAAACCTCAAACCAATTGAATTCAAAACAAATTATTGCCTAAAACAACGGATCTTTAATTCGGCCATGAATTTTGTGTTTTTTTTTCTTTCTTCCAAATTAGGATTTGTTGCAGATCATATACACAACCCCCAAACAAATCCCAATTGAAAGAAGAAATGGAGAAAAGTGAAGCGACCACGGCCCCTTTATTCGGCTGCAGATATCACTTTTGTGAATAAAATTCCTGCATTTTTCCTACACAGATCAATGTATCGAGAGATTTTGAATGACGACGACTTTTCTGAGAAATTAATTAACCCCTTTGTTTGTCTCCTTGATCTTCACTTTATTTTGGAGATCTTCCCGGGAATTCGACAGAGAAAATGCATGCAAATGCATGCAGAAAAATGGAAACAATAAACTCAAAAGCAACCACCAAAATTTGAACTTCAGATTTTTAAAATAAAAAATAAATGCAATTTTACTAATTAACGTCAAAATCCACCTAACATAAAAAGGGGTAATTTCATATACATTCCGAATTGGTTTAAGAATGTTACACTCAGACCTCTAAGTTTGTAATAAATATGTTTCAAATCCCATAAATTTTCAATAATGCAATATATACATATATGATTTAATTTCTACATACATTGCCATCAGGGGTAACTCCACTACAAATGCCCTAACAATTTTTTTAATTAATTTCAGTTAATATTCTTATATTTTTATTTAGTTAGAAAATATAAAAGTAAAATATTGAGAAAATGAACAAATAAATTGATACGAACCCGTATCAAGCCGGCACCGCTTTGAGTGGATGCAGACTCCAAAGTTGGAATTAGGGGAGGGGAAAATCAGAGGGAGAGAGGGAGGGAGGGAGAGAGGGAGAGAGATTTCAGAGAAGGAAGATGATAGGAGAGAAGAAAAAGATAATAATAATTCGCATGTCTTTCTCCTAGCATGCAGGGTGATTATATACTAAGTTACTCCTATTATGCTTAGGACTATGATTCCTAATTAATATGATATAATAATGTATTAGGACTAAACTAATGTATCCTATTACGAATAAACTTAGTCTAACAAAAGTAATCAGCCATCCATGCCGGTTTCCTTCGTTTTCTCCTTGGCCTAGTAGCATGAGCCTAGTAGCATGGGTTGTTTCTTTTCTTTCTCCCAATTCTTGATTTTCACCTTCTTCTACGGATATACTCGTATCATTATCTGGGATTACCCGGACCTGCCAATGAGTTTAGACTGGAAATATCTCCTGCGGTTATGTCATCTTGTCCATGCACTATGATTTCTTCTTCTAAGATTGGATCTTTTGTGGTTTGCTGTGTCAATTTTGACAATTTTCCTTGGAAATCCTCAAAACGAGACTCGCTGAACCGCTTTGTGACATTCCGTAAAAATTCCTTCCATGTAGTTAACATTCCATTCCTTTTCATCCATTGATACCACCCAGAAGCATTCCCTTCCATTGTGAATCCTGATATTCGCAATCGCTGTGTGTCGGGTGTATCATAAAAATCAAAATATTCTTGAATTCTAAATATCCAACCATGAGGATCTGAGCCATCAAAGCGAGGTAACTCAAGTTTCATATGAAATCGTTGAGTCCCTTGGCCACTCACCGGTTGCAAAGATGGTTGTAGATGATTATCAGGTGGAGGTCCTAAAATTCCATGTGTTTGAGGTTGCACTGCTGCATTTTTATTTGTTGTTACCATCGTTTCCAACCGTGACACGGAGGTAATGAGTTGTTGAATGAGTTGGTAATTTGTAACAGTTTGTCTATCAAAATTTTCTTGAAATTCGGCAATTGCCTGCTCCCAAGGACGAGTTGTTGATGTAGATTGGTTGTCTGACATAATGAAGTAGAATTACAGTTTTGAGTGTGTAAAAGAACAAGAAAGATGAGTTTGATGCAATGAAAGCACCAATTGATACGAACCCGTATCAAGCCGGCACCGCTTTGAGTGGATGCAGACTCCAAAGTTGGAATTAGGGGAGGGGAAAATCATAGGGAGAGAGGGAGAGATGGAGAGAGATTTCAGAGAAGGAAGATGATAGCAGAGAAGAAAAAGATAATAATAATTCGCATGTCTTTCCCCTAGCATGCATGGTGATTATATACTAAGTTACTCCTATTATGCTTAGGACTATGATTCCTAATTAATATGATATAATAATGTATTAGGACTAAACTAATGTATCCTATTACGAATAAACTTAGTCTAACAAAATTAATCAGCCATCCATGCCGGTTTCCTTCGTTTTCTCCTTGGCCTAGTAGCATGGGTTGTTTCTTTTCTTTCTCCCAATTCTTGATTTTCACCTTCTTCTACTGTGGATATACTCGTATCATAAATCCCCTAACTATTTGAAAAAATTCAATTGTACCATCAAATTGAAAAAAGAAAAAGTTTTACCAACTACCATGTAGTGTGATTGCATCAGACTTAGATTCTATGAACTGAAAATGTTTGAGAAAGTATAGAACGAATACTACCTTGTAAAGAATTATAAGTATTTCACCAATATATATATGTATATATATATATATATATATATATATATATATATATATATATAGTTTTGTGTGGTGTCACCTCACGTATTTTTTCCAATTTGGCATAATAACAATAATAATAATAATAATAATAATAATAATAATAATAATAATAATAATGCATTGTTCAACTTAATTGATTTTCACGTATCTCTTTCTCTTTGCAAATTCAATCTTCAGTTACATTTATTCTTTTTCCAAAGTTGAATCCCAAACCTTAAGGGGCCCCACGTCCCAGCCCGACATAGTATGTGAGAGAAGCAGGGGCGGAGGGATGTTAGTATTGCACCCCTCCCCCAAAAAATTTATTATTATTAATATTAATATGGGTGGATGATTTAGAGGAAAACTGTATTTGGGCGTCTTGGGCCCTTGGCCTCCCCTTCCCAAAAAAAAAAAAAATTAATAGTATATTATTATTTTTTTGGTCCCCTTCACCAAGGCAAATTATGACATTATACTGTGGAACCGTGTTCACCCCACATCGTGTCCACCTTGTAAGGTGGACACAGTTTCAAAACTGTTCATAATTATGAATATATAGTTCAAAAATTATGAATATAAAGTTCTATAATTATGAACATAGAGTTGTGAACATAATTATGAAAATATAGTTCTGTAATTATGAATATAGAGATTCATTAATTGTGAATATTTGAAGTTCAAAAATTATGGATATATAGCTTTATAATTATGAACCTATAGTTTAGTAATTGTGAACATAGAGTTCTGTAATTGTGAATATAGAGTTCAATAATCATGAATATGAAGTTCAAAAATTATGAATATATAGCTTTATAATTATAAACATATAGTTCATTAATTATGAACATAGAACCGTGTCCACCTTACAAGGTGGACACGATTCCACAGCAAAACGATTGCTTAGCTTCACCAAAGTATCTGCACTCTCCAAACAAAAACTTTTAAACTAAGCTTTCAAAATCTTATTTGATTCGCAAGTTCACAACTAGCCCCAGCCCAAAAATATGATTTCTTCTTCTTGAACATACACAATCACATATTGTCTAACATGCTCAAAATTTCTTCTTCTTGAAATATGAATATGCCAAAAATATGGCTTATACATATTTCTTATTCTTTTTTTTTTCTCAGATTCATTTATCTAAAATTAATAAATTTTTTCCTTTTTATCCACACTTCTAATTTAAATTTGTTTAAAGGGTTTTTACAATGTTTAATGCATCTTGTGTCATCTACTAAGTTGCTTATTCAAAATTTAATTAAGAGACGGTGGATGGGATGAATTAGTTGCAAGTGTGAAGTCTTTTTGTGAAACTGCCAATATAATTGTGCCGAATTTTGATGCTCAATATATTGCAAGAAGAGGAAGGTCTAGGCATCAACAAGATGGATTAACAATTGGGCAACATTACAAATTTGATATTTTTAATGCTGTGATTGATTCTCAATTACAAGAGTTGAGCAATAGGTTTGATGATAAAGCACTGAAGTTAATTATTCTCAGTTCATCGTTAGATCCAAAAGAGATGCATATATCATTCAAAATTGATGACATTTGCAAGTTGGTAAGAGAAGTTTTATCCTCAAGTTATGGAGTTAATTATTCTCAGTTCATCGTTATTCTCTCTCAAATTATGATTGGCCCCCGCACCAACAAATCCTGGCTCCACCCCTGGAGAGAAGGTAAAGCACGGTAACTTAGTGGCTCAACAGACAGGGCCAGAGGTAAATCACGATAACTCAGTGGCTCAGCAAACATGGTCAAATATTAGTGTGCACAAGCTAGGTATATATCTACTCACTTTAGGCATAATTCCCAGACTACTGCTGTCGAATTTTGAACATTGGTCTATTCTCTCAAATATTGCCTACTAAATCATTGAGCTAAGCCCGTGCGGGCAATTCCATTTATTCTTGTTTTCTTAATTTGTCAATTTAAGAAAAGAAAAATTCAAAGTTAAGTTTTTACCCATTGGACATTGACTATTGAATATATATAGAATTAGGTTTAAATGGAACCTCTGTTAACATGTGAATCTGTGTACTATTGTGCATTGTTGATCTTGATCAATCTTGTGGTTTATAATGATTTTAACCAAGTAAATATACATCACCGCAATACTACACCACGTCATTGCACCACGTCATTGGACCACTGCACAACTGCACCGGATGCACCACTGCACCACTAGTCAAATCTCAGCCGTGCAATTTCACATCTCAACGGTGCATAGGATTTCACGAGTTTACACCCAAGCAGTGGTTCTCACGTGAAAAAGGAAGTACCATGTGAAAAATGGGATGAGATCT